TCAAAATTTCGAATATATTTAGAAAAGTAGTATTTGTTTGGTTGGCTCCATCTATTTTCCGTTTTTTAATTTATTTCGTTCTTAATCAATAATGAACTAAACTGTTCTATTTCCCAATGTTAAATTAATCTAGCCCAAATTAAGTGATGCATTGATAATGAGTAATAAGCATTATAATTTTAATAACTATTTATTGATCATTTAATTTTATTTTTGCCTAAACATATAGGTTAGCGACACACCAATTTCATCCATCATGAACATGAACATGAAATACATGAGACTTGCTTGGATGCAACTGCATTTCTGAAGACAAGATTTCGTGTAAATTAACTTCATTTTATATCGCGACAATTTTGAGGACCATTTAGTTATTAAATTTTTAAATTTGGACTATTGTTTGTGATGTGGCCATGTTAATGTTGAATTCAGTTTGGAGTTGTCACTTTCGTGACGTTTATGAGAATTTGAACATGCCTTATTTAAGCATTCTCCTCATTTGGGACTTGTAGTTTTTATTTATGTAAGATGTTTTGTCTGTTACAATGATTAGGCCTTCAACTACAAAGAAGAGTTTAGTAATCTATGCAGTGCCTATTGAATTATCTTATGCTAAGTGTTCTCCGCACGACAGTCGCGATTTCTCCCTACTCATCAGGCGGTGCGTCCCCATCTTCGAGACTATCTTGATACTCAGCTCTGAGAGCATTATTTTACCCACAATACTCCCCACCATGTTGAGCGTTTTCAGGATACTTGATCTTCACCGAGAAGGCCAAATTGGTGTTTACATAAATGGTGCTTTTCTTTAGGTGTCAGCTTACCATTCTCTGCAAGTAGTTTGTTTCTGTCGACTTAGTTCTCCAATATTGCTTTTGTCTTCCTGTGAGGTTGCTTTTTATGTTCAATAGTTTGCAGTTAAGTAGACGGTGATGAAGCCTTTGAAAACGATCAATATCTTATTGGGGTTAGTGTTCTGTACTTTTTGGCAAAATTGATTGGCTAAGTAGCTCGCAACGGATTGGCATGCATCGGGTAATGTTGTTAGCTCGTCAGTGCCCATAGTAAAAGATTATGATTAGGGTGACTGAATAAACAAACTCTGGAGTAAGTAATCATTTTGATTCAAGTGCCTAATAGCGATAATAAGATTCGAATTCTAACATTAATAATACATTCAAAACTTTGTTCAACAATGAAATCGGTCTTTTTTGTTACCATTTATTTCTATCAAATAATATTCACTTTTGGTAATTTAGTACAATAATTCATAAGTAATGCATTTGAATAATTTAAATCAGTGTCTGCAGCTAATGCATTATCCTAGTAGATCAATATGTCGGCCAGATTCCAGCACCAATCTTGTTTGTACCTATTAAAATGTAGGACTTTGTGTACGCCGCAATTTACGTAATTGACCCCAGGCATCTTTTTCTGATGCAATGCTACATGAACTCCTCTTCAGTTGGCTCGGATATTCGGGTGATATTTGCATCGTAGTGAGAGAAGGCAATTCATTTGCAGATCATTAGTGCCGAATCAAGCTTACTTCAGAGAAACTGACTTTCATAACTCCCTATGAAATTCACTTAACCTCTCCGATTCTCGAAATTGCTGGTAGCTCGTAAGGTTGAAAGATTTCATCAAGAAATTCACCCTTCCGGGATCGGAAAGCGTATACCTATCCAATTTGGCGTTTTCAATGGCTGAGAAAAGATCAATCATCATAATCTCATTTCTCGTTGTGTGGAACAGACGTTTAGGTGAATCCAGTGAAGAGTACTAGAGGCGCAGATTGGGGGGCCGAGCTTTTGCCAGAAGCCTTGCAAGTTGCACAAGAAGCTGATGGATATTCGTCGTTGGAGTTCCAATTGGATTCCAACGTCTCCCTCTCTACTCCTACTGCACCTCAAAGTGTAAATGTGCATAGATCAGATGAAATGATGATTCGAGGTTTGCATGAAGTGACGCCAAAAGCCAGTGAAGATTTTTTGGTTTCAAAATGACATGAATATTGAAATCCCTGCTGACACAAATCATTCAGTAGTTGGAATTCATTCATCGACAGGTCCAGCGCAATCAAACATCTCCCTTCCTCCTTCTTATTCCCTAACTCGAAGCATGTTCCCCGCACAAAGTGGAATAAAGAGTGCGCTTGCTGTGATGGGCTATAGCAAGTGGACTGCATCTAGGCGGCTGATTCAACAAGAGCAGTCTTCAGAGCCTCCTCGGCTATTTGCATTGTGGAACGACTACTACAAAGCAGAGAAAGAAGCCGTGGCTCAGCAGTCGGGGGAAGCCGTAGGGGAGGTTCATGAAGAAGCAGGTCCATCAAGACAGTCCCAGTTTCCGCCATCTCGGATAAAGAGGTCACCACGACAGCGAACACAATCTAGACGCACGAGACGACTACTACAAAGCAGAGAAAGAAGCCGTGGCTCAGCAGTCGGGGGAAGCCGTAGGGGAGATTCATGAAGAAGCAGGTCCATCAAGACAGTCCCAGTTTGCGCCATCTCGGATAAAGAGGCCACCACGACAGCGAACACAATCTCGACGCACGAGAATCACTCAATCTTACTTGAAATTTGTTGCTCCTGTAAATGGCTACACTAGTACACTCATCGGCTTCATCCAATAACCCTTTGTAAATAAAGACCTCTATTATTACTTCAATTTCTTCAATTATTATGAGTTTTATCGCAATTTGTTAAACACCTACCTGTATGGGATTGAGAATTTTTCACAACGAATGTAGAATGTACTTCATACGTGTCCACAATTAAGAGTATTGAAGTTATTACTATTGAGATCAATTAAAATTTTAAATGATATGATTCAGTAAATTGAGTGAACAAAATTCTTAATTTTAATACTATCATTCTGGTGAGTTGCGTTTTTTCAAAGGCATGATATTTAAAAGAAGAAATTAAGTAGCCAAGATGTGGTAGAAGATCGAAAAAGGCGTTGCACTCAAGTTTCAATTTCTATTCACACGACTCAAGAATTTGCCGAATATCCGTCATTGGTGAACTAACTGGATTCTCACTTACCTCTCTCCCTCTCTATATCTCTCTCTCTCTGCAATCCAATGTCTGCACAAAGAGTTTACCATCCGCCCTACTGCCGCCTACAATCCAATAGCGAAGATCAACTTGAAAGTGCAGAGGTCTAAGGCACAACTCAGTCAGTCGTTTGCAACCGACGTATCCAGCG